GGTCACAAAGAGTCGGACACGACTAAACGACTAAACAACAAAAATAATACTTTTACTGCTTCAGGAAAACACACAAGAGCTAAAATATCCAAGGCTTCCAAGAAGCCTCCTACACAACAAACAACAACAACAAACAACAACAACATATAGTAATAGTAGTATTAGTAGTAGTAGTAGTAATAATAATAATAATAATAAGAATAAGAATAAGAATAAAAATAAAAACATCAATGTGTGTCTCTCATTAATTAACTAAACAAAACAGGAAGCAGTTAACAGAAGCTTTACTAATATATCTAGAGTTCACCATTCTATCTCGAGAACTAAGAGCTATTCTACACATTTTTCCTTAAGAGCAGTAGTCATAGTCCGATTTTAGCATCACATATCCAGAACTATGCATGGAAAATGTCAGCATGAATGCAGCCTATTCAGGCCACAGCTCAGTTATAATTTATGTAGCCAGGTATTTTTTTTCCACCACAGCTATTACATTCATTGAAATAACTAGTCATATTCATGGACAAATATTTCATCATCCAAATGGACAGTGTCATCAAAGCTACCAACATGAATTTGATCCAACTCCGGGAGGCAGTGGAAGACAGGAGGGCCTGGCATGCTCTGGTCCATGGGGCTACGAAGAGTCGGACACGACTAAATGACTAAACAACAACAAGAAATTGGAAGTAGAGATTGGCCTTTCTTCCACATCAGCGATTTCATAGAAACATGCAACATTTAAGACTTGGCATGTATTAGCTGGGACTAGATAAGGCTGGACATGCAGAGGTCTGGCAATTTTTGTGCACTTGCACACACATACTATCCACATTTACTGCTGCTAACAGGCTATACTGCTTTTAATAATTTTAGCAAAATTCTATTCGATTTTGACATTTAGGATCTGGCTTCAGCAGTTATGTTAGTGATCTAAGTTCAAACAAACAGCTGTTAGAACAATGGTTTGCCACTTGGCAAATTGTTGGTGAAGGAAATAAAAAAGCCAGGAGATGCCCATGCTGATGCTGGCAATTCTGCTAGCACTACACAAAAGAATAGCACCACTGAAATGTGGGAAGGCCATGAGACACTTTCCCCCCCGAGTCTCTTCCACATTCCCTTCTGTGAATCTGCCTATTCTCCAACAAGACAACCTCAAAGATCCCTCCCAAATGTATGACCACGTATTCCAAGAATGAACAACTGCCAAAGGCCTGCACCTGATCAGGGGACTATCCTGCCCATCTGGCCTCCCATCCCACCCCCTCACAACCTCTTTGGGCATCCAAAGAATAATTATAACCTCTAGGGGGAACAACTGGCTGCTCTACTCTAGGTTTGGCAATGGTAAGGAGATGTCTGAGCTGCTCTGTGTTCACAGGACCTTTTATTTCAAAGACAGAAACAACTAGATGGCGCTTTCCGCTTTTGAAACAATGCAGCCCACACTGTAAGCAGGCTGGGGGATAATGGGTGAGAGAAAATCATAGGCCATTGAGTCCAATCCCCTGCCCAATGCAAGAATCCAAATCAAAAGAGATCTAACATATGGTTGTCCAATTTTTCTTGAATGCCTCCAGCACTGGAGCACTCATCACCTCTCAAGGTAATTGGTTCCACTGCTCTACTGTTTTAACAGTTAGAAAGTTTTTCCAACTATTCACCAAAATCTGACTTCCTGTAACATGAACCCACTGTTAGTATTGAGTAACATATGGCTCAAAGATATAACGGCAAACAAAGGGCACAATGGTTTTTAAGTCATATTACCAAGTTCTGGCTACAATTTTTCTTTCTGAAACCTTGCCTCTGTGTTGATAAAGAGAGACAATTGCTAACCCTTTATGCATACAGTAATTCATTCAAGCTTCAAGCCAGATATCTAACTCTCTGCGCTGTCCCATTCATCATTCAAGTGCTAGAAAGTGTCGGAACCACAGTCACAGACGTCTACCCTAAGGAGGAAAACAAAATGTTTGCTAGCAAGTTGCTTCTCACAGAGATGGCTTGCTAACATTGCACCTTTGTATGTACCACTGTACAGTGGGGTCTCTACTTAAGAACGTCTCTACTTAAGAACAATCCAACTTAAGAACAGCTCCATTTGCTAAATTTTGTTTCTACTTAAGAACAGAAATCCAAGATAAGAACAGGAAAAAAAACTTTCCTGCTCTT